CAGATACTTTCTTGTACCAACAGAAAAAGACCTATGTGTCATTTTTAATGGCTGCATAATATTCTGTTTTATGTATCATTTCTTCAACTAGTTTCCTGTCAATGCACATTTAAGACATTAATTAATGTTTTAAGTCTCAGTTGCTGTCATTAAGTCTCAGTTGCTTGTGTTGGTATAAATAATGTGTTAATGGGTATTCCACTGTGCTTGCTCGTGGAAATGTTTGACAAATGTCCCTGGTCACATTGGATCGTAATTATCTGTATGCCTGTCTTTCCCACAGACTATTATAAGTTCCCCAAAGGGAAAAACCATTATTTCTCTTGGAATCTGTAGAACCCTGTAGAGTGGCAGTGGGAGCTTAATATATAGTGTTGAAAGAAAGAAGGAATAAATGAATGAATGTTTATATAGTTGGGTACACATGTATATCATCATACATGTCTTCAGTTTTTACTCAACTTTTCATTGGCCTAAAGGCCTGATCTCTCTGAGGTATTATTCAATCCCCTACCTGTTGCTAATATCTCTTTACAGATGTCATTACTCCTGACATAAATTCAATGGGTAGATTTAAGAATTAGGATGTGGCCAAACCATGACTCCTCCATAGACTGTGGTGGTCTCTGGAAGAGATGTTATAAATTCCAGAAAAAAAAAAAAATAGAAATACCTGACAGTTTTTGCCTGGCCCTAAGCAGAAATGAGTTACTAAGACTGAAATTGTCAATTACAAGAAAAAACACATGCCTGTGTGTTGCATACTATTCACAGCTGTTGTCCATTATGGGTTCTCTGGAGTACCATTTGCTGTTACAACTGAATGGTTCCATAAGTTTAACTCACCAATATGACTACAAAATTGTCTTAAATCACAGAGGGGAAGAGAGGAAAACCAACTAAAAATGGCTAAATTGTTGCTTATATCTTCACAAGAATCCACAATTTTCCCCATTTGCTTCTTCAGGATGCTAGCACAGCCTGTTAGGTCTTGTGGTGTATTACAATGTAGCAAGTTATCAACCTGACTCTGGAAGGAATGAAACACACTGTTACAGCTTGCATTTGTCTTACTGACGAATGCACTGTATTGTACTGGGCACATCAGGCAATAGAAGCCAACTGGCCCAGACAATGAGAGTGTTCGGTTAGTGTCAAAATTTACAAGCACTTAAACTATTTTTTTATTTCTTCTTGCTAGGCTGGAAGCACTTACTATTGTTGTCCAATATACTGCAAATGAACATGGTTCAAAAATCACAAAGAGATTGATATGGAATTATAGAACCGAAAATAGGATACTGATTGGGTACAAATTCATCAAGCCTCTTTATTTCTAAACAAGCTTTTCATTGGCGTGCCAACACAGCTTGCTTTGGAAGAGTGAAATTGACTGTGATCAAATGATGTAGTGGGAAAGTTGACCTCCAGTTAATTTGAATTGCGCTCAGCTGGCTAACTGTATATCTCTTTCCCCCAACATGCTATTTAGAAAGTTTCAGTTACTGAGCCATTCGTCTTACATGCAGAACACCTAATCTGCTATGGAATAAATATTTGTGTCCCCCTAAAATTCATGTTGAAATTTTAATCCCCAAAGTGATGGTATTAGAAGGTGGGGACTTTGGCATTTGATTAGGTCATGAGGGAGGTGCCCTTATAAACGGGATCAGTGTCCTTATAAAAGAGGCCTGAGGGAGCCCAGTTGTTCCCTCCACATGTGAGGACACAGTGAAAGGCAGCCAAGTATGAGCCATAAAGTGGGCCCGTGCCAGACACACGATCTCCTGGCACCTTAATCACGGACTTCTCAGCCTCCAAAACTGTATGAAATAAATTTCTGTTGATTGTAAGCCACTCAGTCTATGGTATTCTGTTAGAGCAGCCCCAACAGACAGACAAATCCATTGCTCAATTTCTTCAAAAACTTCCATAACTCATCTCTGGTTGAAAAGATGGTGAGGCTGGAATTTGAACCCTGGCAGTGTGGTTCCTAAGGGTGTTCTCTAATTCACTACATCATGCTGTCTCTGGTTGGGTGAAGGTATTATCTGCAATAATTTCAGAATTCTTTCTCTAAAGCACAGTCTTTGGCATGTCTTTCCCTGGTGAGAAAGCATCATTGACTCCCATTTAAAAAAAATAGTGATTCTCAACTCTTCTTTTCTGAAACATATTAATATATGTCAAATATCATTCTCATTACACTCACTCTTTCACTCGTTTCTCAATCTAGAAAGCACACCTGAATGCCTATCGTTCAAGGTAATATTATTATAGGGATGACTTTAAACCTGATCTTACATTCACATGTTAGACTTGAGTGTAACTGGATGTAAAAGAAACATGATTACAATGGCCTAGCCAAATATTAGTTTATGGTTCTCAAATATCCAGAAATCTTGAAGAAGCCAGTGAAGGTATAGTATAGCTGCTTAAGGAATCTATCAAAAACCCTGGCTCTTTCTAACATTTATGGTCACTATTCTTACCATGTGACTTTGATTTTCACATCTAGGTGCAGGTGCAAACAGGAAGAAAGGCAAAACACAAGACATAAAAACCAAGTGGCATTTGCCAAGTGAAACTGTCTCCTTTAATTAGTTTTCCATTAAAGACTCGCCCCCTGCTCACATTTATCTGTCACCAGACACAACTGTGTTAAACGCCACTTCTACCTATAAGAGGATCCATGAAGCTGAGTATTTTAATCTAGAAAAATTCCTTCCTCCACAAAATCAGGACTCTGCTAATAAGAAAGAAGAAGAGAAGGGCTTTGGGGCAGGCTCCTGGCATTTTGTGCCATGTGTAGAATACCATGAGCAAACATTCACTCTGTCATTGGTATCTGATTCTGGGATAGCCTCTGTTACTGATCACAGGACACTGGAGAGATGCTGACTCCATGATTGAGAACAGGATAAAGTCCAAATCCCTAAACAAAACACATAAGAAAGCATCCTACCAGTTTGACACCAGCCTACTTTTCTAAATTTGTATTCTACCATCTCTAACTCTTTGCTTTGGCAACAAATAACTTTATTTTTGAATGCATTGATTTCTCCTCTGTGCTTCTTGCATGTGTCATTTTCTTTGCTTAGAAGACCCTGTTCACCTCCTCTATCAGGTAAATAACAATTATTCTGTAAGATCCAGTTCAAATACCAATTATGTCTCTGGAAATGTCCTTACTTCTCTCAGATCTACTTTTTTCATATGTGCCTTAGATATACCTCCATTAGCTCACATGTCATTATTTGCTTATATTATTTGTCACCACTGACAAATGCTATGGCCTCTTGGAGCACAAGGACTCTAATGTATTCAACTTGTTCTACTTAGTGTTTTCCACAGTTACTGGAATATGCTCAAGACACCTGCTTAAGGGAAAACATAGCTGACTTTTATCTCCAATGTGTAGATGACTCACAAGGAGCTGACGTGACCCGCTCTCACCATAGGTAGTAAGAATGCACTGAGTTACACTCCTGAAATCTAGACCTCAGAGCGTTAATGGCTGCCAGCGGAAATAGGGAAGAGAAAGATAGTGTGGGGATTTTTTTGTTTTAGTTGATGATAATACAACTCAGTAATTTAAAAACTTATTTCCTTATCCTCTATCACTTGTTCTTTAGTTTTGTAATTGAGAATTATTCAGTTTCTTTCTTTCTTTGTGCACAATTTGAGATGCAGTTTGTGCCCTAAAAATGGCTGTTATTTAGATTCCACATATAAGTGAGATCATGCAGTGTTTGTGCTTTTGTGTCTGGCTTATTTCTCTCAGTATAATGTCCTCCTGGCTCATCTGTGTTGCTGTAAATGACAGGATTTCATTCTGTTTTATGGTTTAATATGGCTCTATCCATCTATCTACCTGTTTTACATCTGACATCTTCTTCTTGGTCCATTCATCTGTACATGGGCATTTAGGTTGATTCCACACTTGACTACTGGGAATAACATGGGAGTTTCAAGAAATAGGATCAAGGTGCCTGCAATAAATATGGGAGTGCTGATATCTCCTCAATATACTGATTTTATTTCTTTTGTATAAAAACCAAGTAGTAGGATTGCTACTACTCATCATATTATTTGAGGAACTTCCATATTGAGTAGAATAGTAGTTACCTGAGGCTAGGGAGTTCAGGGAGAGGGAGGAACAGGAGGGGTACAAAGTTACAGTTAGACAGGAGGAAGAAGTTCTGTTGTTCTATTAATGTTACCAGTGGGGTGATTATAGCAGACAACAATGTAGTGTATGTTTTAATATAGCTAGAAGAGAAGATTTTGGATATTATTATCATACAAAAAATGATCAATATTTAAAGTGATGGATATGGTAATTATCTTGACTTGATCATTATACAATGTTTATATGCATTGAAACATTACATTGTATGCCACAAATAATACATTAAATAATAAAATAATATAAGAGGCTACTGTTTAATTGAAGAAAAGGCATATTTTGACTCATAGTGATTTGAATGATATGGAAAGAAATTACTAGTTTATTAACCTTTTGGCTTCATGGCTGGGGTATTTATACTTAGCAAATATTTAGTACTTGTTATTTGAGTGAGTTTAGGAGCAATAAGGAATTGGATGAGGATACAAACAGAAAAGATAGTTAGGAAAAAAAACCCACAAAATTGGACATGGTGCACTCCTGGTGTAATACCATGTCCTTCTCCTTCCTTCCTTGAGTGTGTGGAGAACAGACGTCACTAATCAATCAAAACACATTTTCCACCTCAGCCCATACATGGCCTCAGAATACATCTCTTAAAGCCTTGAGCTTTAGCTTTATACTCTCTGGAGTCTTGCAGACCACGGAGACAGGTAGAAAATGGGTAAATGTGGGTCAGATATGTATAAGAAACAATCAATTTACTTAGGGCTTCATGCCAGTCAGGTGTACATCTGGTCCTCTGGAGACTATCTTAATGGCAATGGGAAGTGTATTTAGGTTTAATTGTCTCATGTCCCTTTCTTTACAGGACATCGTCCATATCAGGTGATCACTGCCCGAGTTCACCCAGGAGAGAGCAATGCCAGCTGGGTGATGAAGGGGGCCTTGGAGTTCCTGGTCAGCAGTGATCCTGTGGCTAGGCTCTTGAGGGAAAACTTCATTTTCAAGATCATCCCCATGCTCAACCCAGATGGTGTCATCAACGGCAAGTACGTCAGGCGCCTGGCCCAACCTAGCCTGCTTTTATGTTGCCATAGTGACACTTTGGCATTTCACCCAATGGGTGTGATTGCAGAGGCCTTGGTATCCTAGCCAGAATAAATTCTCTCGAGTTCCTGTTGTCTGGTACAAATAACAGTGTATTTTCCATATATATTGATGCAAGTCTCATGGTTTCTTTGATTAGAAAATTAAAGAATCATAGGAAATTAATGCCAGAGGAAATAATCTAGTCCTGCACTCTCCTTTTATAAAAGAGGAAATTGGTGTCCAGGATAATCAAATGACTTGCCCAAGTCACTTGGTGGGTTAGTGGCAAAGTCGGGGCTCAAACTGTGATGTCTTAACAGTTAAGACCAATGGTTATATTTACTCATTAATATTTACTACAGAGAAATCTTGATTATCCATAATATTTTACTGAATTCTGGATACAGCTATAATAAGGGTGTCACCCTAGCTAAATGGAATGTTGCCTAAAAAAGAGACAGTTGGGATAGTTCTTCTCTTTATTCAGTCTCTACATGCCCCTTTGAAATGTACAATGGAAAGAAAGACGCCTGTGTCTGGTGAAGTTTTTGGGAAAGGGTCAGCATTCTCAGAATTTGGGAGCTGAGGCTCAGATGTCAGATGACGCACCCAAGGTCACATGGCCTGTGGGTGAGAGAAGCAGGATTAACATTGACAAACACATGTTTTCAATTTTGTGGACAAAGAACAAAGCCCCTTCCTATGGTAATAGATGATTCTTTTCACTGTAGAAGTAGACATTGTACCCTTTGGGGGAAAAAATACAAGATAAAGTGAAACTAAAAGAAAAGAAAAAATAATTTTATTAAAAGAAAAAATAATTTGGAAAGCTACAAATGACAAATGTACTTACAATCGAAAAAATCAGTATTAAAGAAGCAAAAACACAAGTTTAGAAAACTGAGGAAATAGAGCAATATTAAAATGGTGAAGTGGATGAGATAATAAAATGAGAAAGATAACGGAATGCTAAAAAGCAAAAAGAAAAAAAAACTTCAAAGAGATTAAAATGACTTAAATAAATAAGAATGATTTTAGAAAGATGAAATTGTAATTATTTCTTTGAGGAAGAAATTAAATGTTAAACAGCTGAGAATAGACTAGCTTCAAAGTCTAAGCACAAAACGAAGATAGAGAAGTTAAAAAGGCTAAAAATATAAAGATGATAAAATATAAAAAGAGGAACAGCATAAATTTCAAATGATGAAATATGGTAAACTATGCTAAATGAAAGCAAATCAAAGCTACAGACTGCAAGAATAAAATTTTAATAGACACACACATGCAAATAAAGGAAAGATAAGTGAGGCCCCCATGTGTTCCTAACAGGTCAGGTCGTTCTAGCTCAGCAGTTCCAGGACTGCATTTATTTTTTTTCCTTGTGGAGCTTGCTTTAGGGCAGAGAATGCTGGGCACAGAGCAGAGTCCCTTCTCTTTTTCTATAGCAACTAGTTGTCCTCTAAGCACGAGGGGAAAGTAGGAGGCCAAGTCCTTCACGAAGAAGCATCACTCAGATGTCTGACAGCACTTAGGCTTCTCTAAACTCTCAAGCTGGCCAAGGCCCCAGGGCAGTGTTCTCTCCTGGTCGGTCAGAACTCAGCTGGCTCCTGCCATGTGCTCCTTAACTCCAGACAGAAGCTCTAGGACGTCAATGACCGGTTCCTCCCTGCTTGAGCGGCCAATGATTTTACTAGCAAGCTTTCTCGTCCTAAGTGGGTGGAAACAGCTATGCAAGCCATCTTGAGGGACATGATCCCATTTCGACATTTTCTTGTCCAAGTTAGCTCTTTTCTGAAGTCTCTCCTTCCAGGAAATTGTCTGAGGTCTGACAGAGAATGGAAGGAGCAGGGGGTCTGGAGTCATAAGTCTGGTTTGAAATTCTGGCTCTCCCCTGCCCTGTTCAGTTTCCTCTTCTTTTGGAAGAGCAAGACAATGTGCTCCCTGTTGACCTTTCTGGGAAAAGGTCTCATAAGCTCAAGGCAATATTCAAGCTCAGGAATTGTGTATTGTTGTTTCTTCCATTTCCAATGCTCACACTTCCAAATCCGGGGCTTAATCGAGGCCTCTGGTGTGAAGTTTAATGTGGTCTCAGTCACTGAGTCTCCTCCTGGCCTGGACACACATTATTTCCAGCTCACAGCTGGTTGCTCTGGGGTCCCAAATGGCAGGCCAGCTTCTTCTCAGTGACCCTGGTATTCATCATCATTACCATTATTTATTATGACTAAAATTACCCTTTTCATTTATATAGCATCTTTTATCATGGAGCTCAAGGCACTTAGATCACCCAAACAATTTTGGCTGATAGGGACTTGGAAATCACAGTGTTATTCCACAGATAGGAAAATCCATAGGTCATAGCACATCATTATGAAAAGACTTGAGACTGCCTAGATGCATAACATCTCACAATAAAAGGGCTTAAAAGTCTCAGCACCTGAGCCCTCCTTTGAACATACCTAACACATGGTTTATCCTACTTCCACTGGAACTATTTCTGTGGTTGACATTCCATTTCAGGGCTTGCTCATTGCCCTGTGTATAATTAGGTAGATTTGTGTTTTATTGTGTTTTGATCTTTTCTCTGTTAGCTTCACCCATTTTAGGCATTCTTCCCTTGGGAAAATTCCCTTTAGATATTCATGGATAAAATCTAACCCCCCTTGCACACGCCTGAACTTCCCCATGCAAAGTCTATCCCGGCGTGGTGCAATTCACCTAAACATTGTTTATGTGATGTTGTTTCTGATGTTCTCATCTTTATTGATTTTTCTCTGAACATACTCTTATTAATAGGCTTCTTAAAGGTGATAGAACTGCCCTGGGTATCGTCTGACCAGCAAAGAAGCAATCCTTGCATAACGATTAGAGAACCCAAATCTGAAATTGGTACTTAACTTACTAGACTGTATTTTTCTTTCACAAGTAATCATGGGCCTCCATGGAGCTTACAAGAATCTGTAAAAGTAGAGTAGTTCCTTTCCATGGTGGCGGTGATGAAACCTCTGAAGATGTCTGGGAGGTTTTAATAACAGTGGTCATGGGGACAAAACCAGGAATTTCCTGAAAAACATAGTGGATTTTGCCAAGCCAAGGATCTCTTAGCAACACATTTCTGAACAGGAAAACAAAATATAAACATGGATGGTTATGGTAAGTTCCAAAAGAAACAAATTGCTATCTAATTGGCCTGGTAGTATTGGATTGGGGTGAGTTCTGACTAATCCAAAAGGACTGATTCAGTGGTTCTTTGACTCTTTTATATTTTTATTTTTATTTATTTATTTATTTTGAGACAGGGTCTCATTCTGTCATCTGGGGCTAGGGTGCAGTGGTGTCATCATAGCTCACTGAAACCTCAGTCTCCTCAGCTGGTCCTCCTGCCCCAGCCTCCTGAGTAGCTGGGACTACAGGTGCACACCTACATGCCTGGATAATTTTTCTATTTTTTTGTAGAGACAGGGCCTTTCTCTTGCTCAGGCTGGTCTTAAACTCCTGGCCTCAAGTGATCCTCCTGTCTCAGCCTCTCAAAGTGCTAGTATTATAGGCATGAACCACTGCACTTGGCCCCTTGACTCTTATACTTCTTCCCAAGGTGGAGTGAAATAGAACAGGAAGTCAACAAATTGCATTCGATCAGAAATCATAATGATGGCTTGATTAAAGTGGGAAGTGAGGAGATTGTAGGTGGTACCCATCCCACTTTAATGGCAGCCATGATGTATATAAATAGGTACAGGGTGAAGGATGGAAGAAGTCAAACATGATTCCCAATTTTCAAATTTTAGTTTTTGGGTGGTAATGACAAAATAATTTTTATAAAGTCAACACACAGCCTAACAATTTATTTACAGGAGAATCAGAGCATATTGATTCTTAGAGTATGTATAACTCTACAAACTTAATTACCTCCTTCCAAGACCATTGCAAAACAGAAGCAAACAGCAATAAAGAGCAAAGGGCGAATTACAAATAGATACACCAAGGTATTAAGAAGTAATAGCTGAATGCACTAGAGGAGACAAATCAAACTGTAAAAATCAGATAAAAAATCTTGACAATTTAACAACGCAGGACCATTTAAAGTATGTGCCAATAGTCATTTACTCTGCTGTGAGTTGTGAAGGCTTTACTCTACTGACATAAGTTTACCTAAAAAAATTATTCAGCACTTTATTAAATAACTAAAGTATTTAGTTCTTTTACATATATTGTCTTATGTAATCATCACTATGGCCCAACAAATGTAGGTCTTCTATGCAGTTTCTTCATAAACACACAGGGGTTCAGTCTTACATACAGTTTGAATAGCTCATGTTACAGAGCCAGGGCTAGAACTCAGGTCTATCCCCACTTGGCTGTAGAGACTTAAGGGAAATAGAATGAAAGAATCATAAAATGTTCTAGCTTGGTAGGTTCTTGTATATTATTTAGTCCCAATGCTTCAAATCATAAGGAAACTGAGACCAAACAGGTAAGATGAGTTTTCTAAGATCATATACCTAGTTCAAGGCAAAAATGGCAAAATAAATTGTCCAGATAATTGAAACACACATGTGCATATACATGGACACACATATGCACCCATGTTCAAGGTTATATAGTAAGCTTGCCCCAGAGCTGGGATTTTAACCCAGTCCGTCTAGCTCTAAAACCCTTGTTCATTTTAGTCTACCTAACCTCAGATGGAGACACAAATAGTCTTTTGGTGGATCCTTTAGAGTTTTCTAGATATAAGATTATATCATCAACAAATAGCGATAGTTTGACCTCCTCTTTCCTGATTTGGATTCCCTTTATTTCTTTCTCTTGCCTGATTTCTCTGACTAGGATTTCCAGCACTATGTTGAATAGAAATGGTGGCATTGGGCACCCTTGTCTTGTTCCAGTTCTTAGTGGGAATGCTTTCAACTTTTCCCCATTCAGTATGATGTTGGTCATAGGTTTTTCATACATGGCC